GCCGTTTTGCAGCCGGGGCCCTGTCCGGCGAAAAACTGGCAGCGCGTGGGGCTTGATTCGGTACCAGCCGAAAGGCCCCGGGGGGTGCTTCGTGGTGGTGGCGGCAGCGTTTTCTCCACCGAGTTAATGACGTGTTTTATGATTTTTGCTTTTAACTTCAGCCTTCTGCAGCCAAACACCGGCTCTGCCAGTGCGCCAGGCCCCAGTCAGAGCCGCGGGTGGGAGCAGCAGGAGGGCCGGGTGTAGCATGGTGCTGGAGGACGCCTTTCGGCCCCTGTCCCGGCCCCGCGGCCCCGGATGGATGGCTTGAGGCGGGCGGCTTGTGCTGTGCTCAAAAACCGGAGGAGTCGGGATGGGGGGGAAATTTGGGTACCTCAGTCTTTAAAAAGCCGCTTCCTCAGGGCTCTGGGTTACATCTCCCAGGGCACCGTTCCTCACAGCGGGAATAACTCGCTGAGTTTTCCAGTCTGACTAGCCTCTGTGGCTCCGGGTTTCCGCTTCTTTCCCCTTGTTTGATTTAGTTGGTGGAGGCCACATTCACCAAAAACCGGTGTATTTTGGCGAAAACTGGTCCTGGCTCCTGCCTGTAACATCTGCAGGAACGGGCTGGCCTCTCTACCCTTGTGTACAGTTCAAACCCAAGCTCGTTAAATATTTATACCTCGTACCGTGGGTCTTATATCTGTACAGGCCCTGTGACAGCGCAAATGTTTTCAAACCCCGTTTGGCCGTGGTTTCTAGACTAACGCTTCCAAGTGCTCTTTTACCCCTGCAGTAATTCTCACAGCAAGCCGCCTGCCTGCAGAGGTATGTAACAGAGGGACAGAAATAGCAGGGTTTTTTTGGGACCAAGTCCCAGCTGAGGCTGGAGGCCAGAGCGTAGGGGTTACGGCGGTTAAAACCCTGTATTTACTCTACATGGGCAGGAGAGATTTTAATGTATTTTTAAAAAACACGCAAGTGGAGCCTCCAGTCCTGCAAGGCAGCACACCAAAGGCCCGATTCTCCTTGTGCAGCATTAGCCCTTGTAGGCTGTTGCAAAGGGTGTATAAAATCCTGCTGGGGAGGGCTGGATTTTAACCTGCTGCAAGAGAAACAGCCCCCCTGTTGTGCCAAGCCCACCGTAGCACTGGGAAAGGCTCCCCGTGGGGCCCAGCTACTCGCTTGGCAACAAAGCTTGAGATTTACGTCAGCCTCCCGCAAAGCACTGATGTTTATTGTAAGTGCCCTTTCTGATTCCCTTTGAATTCCCCCTCGTTGTTGCTCGAGTTAAACCCATCTGTTTGCCTGGCGTCTTGGAAGGGAAAAGAGCACGTGGTGCTGCCGCTGCGGGCTGGCGTCGGCTCTCGGCAGCCACGAAGCGAACGACGCTGCTGGCAGGTGCTGCCGGCTTTTGCTCTAACTCCTGGTTCCTCCTTCTGCTGAATTGCCTCCAGCTGCCACAGGACTTATCCACCCCTCTCCTCACCGCCAGACCATGGGTCTGGGTCCTGTTTGTAGGACCGAGTTACGACAAAAGTGTCTTTTTTTCTCTAGCAAAAAGGAAGCCGTGCTGTGTTTTCGCCCATCTTCAGCCACCCTGCAGGCCCGTGTTCCTGACTGCTGCCCTCGGGTGCAAAGCGGCACGGTCCCCGTTCGTGGGGGACGGCGCGGGCAGTAGGTACCTGGTTCCTGTATGTGCAGAGTTTGTTGGGGCTGGTGGCTGTGGTGTCTGGAGGGAGGTGTGACACCAGAACCAGGTTAGGCAGAGCGATGGTTACCAAGATCGTTGGGTTTTGGGGTACGTGGCTCACCGGGAGAGGCGTCGGGAGCTGGGTCTCCCTTCCTCTGGGCAAGAGGAAGCTGAGGGGTGTCTACCAGCAGCCTGTGGCTCCTGGCCAAAGATGACGGAGCCAGTTTCTTAGATGCAAGGGGCAACAGCCACAAGCTGGGGTTTGGGAGCTTCGGGCTCCTCGTCTGTGAGGGTGGCGTTACCCTAGACAAGGTGACAGCAAAGTTGGAGGCTCTGTCCTTGGGGAATTGCAGGACTCGGCTGCACAAAGCCGTGGATGCCCTTGACTGGGGCCGGTGTTGGTCTGTGGGGGCTGGAGAGGGGACGCTGGGGTCTTCCCCGCAATGCCACAGCTGCCCCACCCAGGTCCTGCAGGACTTGTGCTTTCCCAGCCTGCCGTGGCTGTTGCCTTTTCGGGAAGGCAGATACCACCTTGCTCGCAGGGGTCCCCACTCCTGTCCACAGCTGCCTTTGCATCGCTGAGCCTTTTGGTGAATGGGTGCAAGCGGGATTTAGAGGGTTGCAGGTTTTGGATTGAGTAGGGAGAGATCTTGGTGCAGAAACCGTGAGAGTTGTCGTCTGCTCTGGGTCAGCCGGCGGGTTACCAGCTCCCTCCCAGCCTCAAGGCCATCGGCAGGCGCAGACTCTGCGTTTAGTGCCATGTTTGCAAGCTGAGAGACACAAGTTTGCTGCTCAGAGCCATGGTTTCTTGTGTCCCTTGGGTTGCCGATGGCTGTGCTGGCTTCCAGGTAACACGAGGGTGCGATTTACTTACTGGCTTCTGTGCTTTGTGTCCTGATTATGTCAGAGGTAGCTTATCTCCTCTTAACACCCTGGCTGTAGGGATCAAGCAGGGCTCTCCCGCTCAGTCCTTGCATTTCCCGGTCCGGGCTGAGATGTCTGAATTCTTCCCCTTTGTCACTGATCCTGGGTCACCCTTGACAACCCTGCCAGAAATGTCCTCTGATTTAGGGTGCTGTAGGTGAGACTGTGGCCTGATGGGTGCAGATGCTAAAGGGGAGCGAGTTGCGTGGAGCTGCAGGTAAACTAGCTGGAGGAACTTAGCGTTGGCTCAGGTTGCACATCCAGAGTTAGCAGGGTCCAGGGAAGCCTCATTTAACCCAGCGCTGTTCTTCAGCCTGCAAAACAGGGGTACCCAGCTCAGAGGGGTGCCAAAATCGTGCTAATGTCTCTGTAACGCCCTGAGAACGTATGAAAATGAGCTTTGAATGAAGTTGCTTGTTTGGGATAAATATTTGATGTGCACAGCGTGAACAAAACGGCCCTGTCCTGGCGCGTTTTCAGCTCTTTTCTTTCTGTTTCAGAGCACAATGTTCCTGGTCGGACTCTCGGGTGGAATCGCGTCGGGGAAGAGCACGGCGGTGGCCGTACTCCGGGAACTGGGCTGTGCTGTGATTGATGCTGATGTTATTGCCAGAGAGGGTGAGTTTTGCATAGTTGATCTTTCTCCCTGAGGTTCCCCTGACAACGGGGATTGATGCGGGGAAGCGCAGTCGGCAGAGGGTGCTCTGGGTACATTAGATAAGTGTTTCCCTCCCATTCCCCAGTTGATGAGGCTGCATGGAGCAGCTGTGTCAGGGGGATCGGAACTAGGATATATTTTAATAAAGAAATAAAATAAGATCATGTCCTAATAAAGACCGTGGGGAGATCTTGCCCTGAGTTTCCCTCTCCTGGAGTGCAATGCTTCCCAGCTTTGAAAGCCAACTCCGGGCAAAATAAATGCGGTTCTCTGTAAAGCAGGTTCCCTTGGCTGATCTGATGTCCCCCCAAACCCTGGGACACCCAGCCTGTAACGTGGTTACGTTAGGTGGGATCACTAACACGCTTGAAAAAGAATTTCCCTCAGTGCTGGATGTTGCTTGGTTGTAAATACTGAGAGATTGGTCCACAAAATTACTTGTGCCTTAATGCACTCAAAAAAAGAGGCTCCAGATATCCCAGATCAGAGGGAGTTTGGTCTGTGCTTCTGCACAGCACACCTGCCTCTTGCTGCTCTGGGAATGTGCTGTCCTGGCTACAGAAAAGACCCAGAAATCCAGATCTGTTGCCTCAGCAGGACCGGAGCAGACCCTGCTCTCCCCGATTACCTGCGCGATGGGAGGCGAGATGTTAGTCCCGCCGTACCACCGGGATAACGAGGAGAGCAGCGCTCGCCCCGGGAAGGGCTGCTGATTTTGTATGCGGAAGGCTTCGGGTCTGCAGCTGAGCAGTGGTGCAGGCAGTGTCATTTTGAAGTGCCTGCGCTTGTCTGTTTGGTGAAGAACTTGCCGTGTAGCCGCTCAAAGCTGTGATGCTCTTAACATTTTATTGCACTGTAATTCCCCTCGAGGTGTGGAAAATTTGCTGGAGGTGCTAAAAGCCCTCAGAGACGATAGGAAAACACTACAGATACTCAGTGTCGGTATTCTACCAATCACTTCATTTTTCTCCAAGTCCTTTTTTTCGTGTGTTTATTTACTATATGGATTTCACCCATCCTGAAACTACCTCAATGTGAAATTCCACGGGAGAAAGAAATTGGTCTTAAAGACTTTTGTTAGGTTGGCCTGAGGTTACAACCTGTGGCAAAGTTCCTGGATTTTGGAGAGAAAATTACATACGGTCTGTCATGCCCTGTGGTTAGCCTCACTTTGGTCTTAATTATGGTTTTATTACTGCATCGGTTTTGTTCATGGTTTTTTGGTGGCTTTAAAATTATACACGTGTATAACGTCAGGGTCCCTGCAAATACCTATTGGGAATTGATCTCTTAGAAGGTTTCCGTGTTCGTGCTCATGAAGAATTTGGTGACTAAGGTGAAAGACAGTAAAAAAAAACAAACCTTAGTAGCAGCCAGAGCCAACTTGTAGCAGCCAGGCCGTATTCAGCTAGCGCTGAAGTTTTCAGCTAAAATAAGCCTGATGCTGGTCCCCGTCCCTTTAGGATCTCCCTGCTCGACTCCTCGCCCTGCAGGCGGTGGGAATCGGCTCAGCCCCCGTACCTGCCCGTGCCGTGGCTGGTAGCCGTCAGCGAGTCCTCCCACCCTGCTGACTTCTGACCCCAAGCAGCAGCATGCACGAGGAGGGTTGTGGCGCTGAATTAATGTTTGCAGAATGCTTCGATCTCTCGAGTGTCAGCCCTCAAAGGGACCTTGGGCTGAGAGGGTTTTTTTGCAGACGCATTTCTGCAGCACCGATGCCAGGTGTCTGCCGGGCTGTAGCGCTGAG